TCAGAAAAGGACTTGCGGATGAATTTTATGCAAGTAGACAAGTGCAAACAGGCACTAGTCAATCCACTGTTTACCATGATGGTATGTATCAAGTAAAACATGTATACGGAGCAAGTGACAAGATGTAACTGTTAGGTTAGGATATAAGTACCTCTGGCAGTATGCCCCACAGGCAGAAGTGAACAAAATTAAATGTAAAGTGTGTGGCCAGACATATGGCCACACACTTGAACACTACGTCCTCGACTGTGTGAGGATAGAACTTTTTAAGGGCAGGTCCAAGCACAGTGTGTGAGAAATGGTACAAAACTTTATCTCTAATGGCAAGATAGCCGACATATTAAGATTGTATCCACTTTTTTGCTTTAAGTAGCTATAACAGTTCCCATGTATGGAACTAAGCACACAGTGTGCTTTACTACCTCTCACGTAAATGTGAGGCCAGACACATTACCTCACACAGTTGTGAATAAGTTACCCTTTATTTATAGAACTAAACAAATACTGTACAGTATAACGTTCAGTGCATAATATCCTGACCATGGGGGTTAGTTAAACTGACCCTTTGTGAACACTACTCTGTAATCCTTTAGCTCTACCACTTACACGATGAGTATGGGGTGCACAATAAACTAGCCACTGCAAGTGGCAAAATTAATTTTTTTATTAACACCCTCCTAGAGGCACTGACATCCTCCCACAAGCACTGATACCTTCCCATAAGCACTGACACTCTTCCACAAGCACTGACACCCTCCCACAGGCACTGACACCCTCCCACAAGCACTGACACCCTCCCACAAGCACTGAAACCCTCCCACAAGCACTGACACTTTTCCACAGGCACTGACACCCACCCAAAAGCACTGACACCCTCCCACAAACAGACACCTTCCCATAAGCACTGACACTCTTCCACAAGCACTGAAACCCTCCCACAAGCACCGACACCCTCCCCCAAGCAATGACACTTCCACAAGCACTGACACCCTCCCAGACACTCTTCCACAAGCACTGACACCCTCCCAGACACTCTTCCACAAGCACTGAGACCCTTTCACAAGCACTGACACCCTCCCACAAGCACTGAGATCCTCTGACAGGTATTGAAACCTAGCAACAGGAACGGACACCCTCCCACAAGCACTGAACTCTTCTCACAAGCACTGGAACTCTTCTCACAAGCACTGGGACCCTCCCACAAGCACTGGAACTCTTCTCACAAGCACTGGGACCCTCCCATAAGCACTGGAACTCTTCTCACAAGCACTGGGACCCTCCCACAAGCACTGGAACTCTTCTCACAAGTACTGGGACCCTTCCACAAGCATTGAACTCTTCTCACAAGCACTGGAACTTCTCAAAAGCACTGGACCCCCCCACAAGCACTGAAATCTTCTCACAAGCTCCGAGATCTTCCCACAGGGACTGACTGCAGTGTTTTGACCGCTGGTGAATTCTTTAGAGGAGCTGGGGCTTTTAAGAAACAAGACTATTTTTATTATTATTATATTTGAGGCCGAGATGACGAGTATAACTTACCACACAGTAGACCCCAGGAAATATATATGAAGATGTCTCCAAGGTAGTTGGGGTGTCTCATAACTCCCCACCATCCAGACACTAACAGTCTTGTTCCTGCTGGCGTTGGTAGACTCTCCAAATCTGGGCAGGAAGTGTATAAAATAATGCACTTTTTCTTTATTACTGTATTGTATGACACCTATACACAGTACTGTATTGCTGTGAATCACCTGATAACATCCTCCACATGTTCAAGTGAACCTATACACTATACAAAGGAATGAATGGTTTTGAAATTTTTTGGATCCAAAAAGTTTTCTCTTGGAACTGGAAACTAATATCTTTAATTACTTTTGTACATCGTGAATATGTAACATTAAAAATTACAGGTAGTGAGTACAGCACAGTATAGCATTGTACAGTACAGAACAGTACAGCACAACACAATATAGTACAGTACAATACAGCACAACAGTACAGCACAGTACAGTACATTACAGTAAAATAAAGCACAGCACAGTACAGAACAGTAAAATAGTACTGTACAATACAATACAGTACAGAACAGCACAGAACAATAATGTTCAGTACAGCATAGCTCAGTACAACACACTACAGTACAACAAAGTACAGAACAGCACAATACAGTACAGTACAGAACAGTAGAGCACAGTACAGTACAGTACAATACAGCACAGTACAGCACAGAGCAGTAAAGAACAGCACAGTACAGAGCAGAACAGCACAGAACAATACAATACAGCACAGTACAGCGCAGAGCAGACACAGAACAGAACAATACAGCACAGTACAGAACACCACAGTACAGAACAGCACAGTACAGTAAAGTACAGAACAGAACAGCACAGTACAGAACAGTACAATACAGCACAGTACACAGCAGAACAGCACAGTCCAATACAGCACAGAGCAGAACAGCACAGAACAATACAATACAGCACAGCACAGAACAGAACAGTACAGCACAGCACAAAACAGTACTATACAAACAGTGCAGAACAGAACAGTACAGCATAGAACAGTACAGTACAGTACTGTACAGAACAGTACAGCACAATACAGCACAGTACAGTACTGTACAGAACACTACAGCACAGAACAGTACAGCATAATACAGTACAGTACAGAACAATACAGTACAGTACAATACAGCACAGTACAGAACAGAGCAGAACAGTACAGAACAGTACTGTACAGAACAGTACAGCACAATACAGCACAGTACAGTACTGTACAGAACACTACAGCACAGAACAGTACAGCATAATACAGTACAGTACAGAACAATACAGTACAGTACAATACAGCACAGAACAGAGCAGAACAGTACAGAACAGTACTGTACAGAACAGTACTGTACAGAACAGTACAGCACAATACAGTACAAAACAGCATTGCACAGCACAGCACAAGACAGTACAATACAATACAACACAGTACAGTACAACCCAACTCAGTACCTAACCTAAACCAATTACATTATCCTGAGTCATTACAACAAGAACTTAACACAGTTTTAATAATTTAAAGACAGATCCTTAGTGACCCCGTTGAGCAGTACTGTACCTATAACGAGAGTTTGAACAGATTCAATATTTTGGCCACACACACAATTTTTTCTCTTGGAAGTGGTAATTAATATCTTTAACTATAAAGTACTGTCTTAGCACATCTTGACCAACAAAAAACATTAATAAGCATCACAAATAATTACAAGTGGCAAATAATTAGGGTTGTAAAATGATGTCAATTAATCCACGAGTCCTTATGACAAATATTAAAGGTACTGTGCTGTGCTGTATACCTTGATATGGTATTCCATCTTAAGATAATAAATAAAGCACACCCTTATTTACTATCAGTGTAAGTACTGGCCAGTCAGTATTATGCTCTACTCTCTGGACAGTACAACACTGACCCAGAAAACACTGTATAACTTTTACTTATTTCTTCATAAACTTGTACAGATATTCTTACCCAGTAGGTGACATTCCAAGACTTGCTGATAGTGTCAAGGATGTGGTTTGCTTGCTATATTTTTAGGGTTTGATATATTTCCCTATGTCAGAGTTTATATGGTTAGTACTTTATTACATTCAGCAGAGGCAATATTTAGGCACAGACTCACCCTCATTATTACTGTGGCAAATCTACAATGCAATATCCTACACTTGATATCTTCTATCTCGGATGTCATTTCAAAAGACAAAATGAGTATAACCTGTAATGTCATCATACTCATCAAATTATACCTTAAAGCTATTATACTCACGAGCCAGTGCTGGGTTAGATGGGTTGGAGCGAAAAGCGTGTTTCTGTGAGCTGGAGCCTCGGAGGATCGTGTAGCCGACCAGGTTGAGGGTGGCAATCGGTAACAGGTAATACCATTCAAGTTCATTCCTGGAGGTAGAGAAAAATTAAGATCTTCAGTGCAAGTTGTTTATATTCATCTATGTATCTATGAAGCTTTAAAAGAGAGAGAGGATGATATAAAACCTTTAAATCAAAGAAAGGTAGAAAATTATGTCTTTGAGTACATAAGGACTTGACACAAAGTTGAAACCTAACTTATCAAAGAAGCATTTTGTCCCCTGGATCTGTGATAGTTATAGGTATCATCAATTTCACCACATATAAAACTGAATTCTACACTTTGGTTGTCAATACTGTAATAGCAAGCACAGTTTAGCCATACTCGAAGATGTTTTCATTATCCAACTTGCAACTTCCTGAGAAACAATATTTTTCACTCCTGCAAAACCTCTACCTGGTGTACTATTGTGTGGCCCAAATTAAAACCAGATTATCTTCACCTCATCATCATTCATCAGCTAGTTTCTACACTTGTTTGGGTTAGCTGTGTTTACCTGAGGGTTTCTGTTAGGTAAAACAAGGATGCCCCTGTAAACACACTAGTGAAGGCTACACATAAAGAATAAACAAAATATCTCCACTTCATTACTGGAGACTTGACCCATATAACACCCACCTGTGGTTGAGCACCAGCCTGGAGAAAACACAGAGCACGAACGCTCCTGCAAGATTCGCCTGAATGCAGAAGAAACCAAACCCTTGACGCATATATTCATAGGTAGTGAAGTATGCCTCTTCGAACCACAGGAAATCCAGGGCATAAAAAATCTGAAGAAAAATAAAAGATGCAATTAGATGAGATGAAACAAAGGGTCATTAACAAAAGCACCGCAAGCTTTTGTTACATGAAAGATCGGGAATATAAACAACACGAGAACTCAAAATATAAAACAACAACACCGGATTTTAAAGTTCCCTGACCCCCATAGTCTTAATCCAGTAACAAGTAACACCCAACTTAAACATTCAAGACATAAGGAACTCACCTGTAGGGAACAAGCCAGCAGGAGTGTCGGGCTGTATTGACCCGGGCTGACTCGCAAATCCTTCATCACTATTATCACGTTAATCATTACCTACGGAATAAATATCAAGGTAAATCTCATAAATTACTCAGGAATGGGACAGCAAAATACAAATTCCTATTAGTGTATTTCTAGTTTTCCGACAGCGTGCGAACTGCCATTAATGAATTATATTTTCTATTACATATGACAGCTTATAAATATCACTTTCTTGCTCTCAATTTCAATGTACTTTATACAATTTGTGATGATTTAACTTTTTGAGTTTTGAGTCCTGGAGAGTTAAATCACTGTCCTCAAAGGGTTAAAACAATCCTCAAAGGGTTAAAACAATCCTCAAAGGGTTAAAACAATCATCCTCAAAGTGTTAAAATAATCATCCTGATAGGGTGAAAACATCATCCTTAAAGGGTTAAACTGTTGTTGTCAAAGGGTTAAACTATCATTCTCAAAGGGTTAAATCAGCATCCTCAAAGGGTAAAACTGTTGTTGTCAAAGGGTTAAAATATCCTCAATGTGTTAGAACCTCATCAAAAGGGTTAAAATATCCTCAAAGGGTTAAAACAATCATCCTCAAAGGGCTAAAGAAAACTGGTGCTCACACAATACTCACCCAAGACAGGAGAACAGTCCGAAAAAGCAAGAACTTCAGGTCCACCGATTTTATAACCGGGTTGATCTCTCGGCCCTTGAAGAAATCCGCCAAGAAGATCCCCGAATTCCCCACCGGATTCTTGGCATCGTTGGGAATGTAGCCAGCCCGGACATACATGGCAAGGGATATAATCACCGACAGCCCTATACACGTGCCCATGAGCTGACGGTACTTGGCGTAGACTTGCAAGATATTGTAGTCAAAGTATATCGAGATGGGGACCACGGACACTGTCACTAGTAGAGTCAGGAATCCTGTTGAAAAGAGGAAAGTCATCACACCTAAACTGTTTTACATCACACCTAATTTATCAATATATATATGTACTTGATCCAGCTACAGTGACATCCCCATATAGCGAACATCTCTCTTCATATAGTCCATCAGAAGGGGTGGGGGGGGGTCATATAGTATAATGAACACTTGATATAACAGGTCGTCATATCTATATTGTTCATTAGATGGAGGTTTCACATCTAACAGACCCTTGATATAGTGGACTTTCATCTCTATAATTCGTTAGATGGAGGTTTCACATCTAATGGACCCTCGATATAATGGACTTTCGTCTCTATATGGTCCATTATGCAAGTTCCACTGTATGAATACCCATAATGACGTTCCCTGTAGAATCGAGTTAAACCAAACTATTTCACCCAGAGACCAACTCCAATACCTCTGACAGACACTTGACATACTAGAGGAGGAATTACATGGATTGATATGGGTATTCCAGTTACGAGAGCGTGTCCTAACGATGTGCCTGATACCAGTGTCAAGATTGTCCGGTAAACTTGGGAATTCAATCGTCAATCCTGGGTGTTTGCCACATTGACCTCGTCTCGCTTATTAGTGGTTTTACAGGTTGAAATAGAATACAATAGGTTTTTCTACCGAGATGAAATAGGTAGATCTCCACACACACACAAAATAAACTTGAAATTTAGTAGGATTAACTAATTAAAGTGATTTTTTCTCTTCAATGAAACTTTAGGGCTTCAGTGGCAATTGGACGAGATTATCACCGACGTCTGGATAAGGAGGAAATGCAAAAGATGGTAACCACAAGACACTCACCATTACAGCGTATAGTGGCACCATTCTGAGGCCTCACCACTTTACCCACGGGAATAAGGTAGAGGAGGAGCTGGGCAGCCATGAACCCTGTGACGATAGCGATGGCCAGCGGGTCGTAGTAGTAGTGTAGCTTGCGTGGGATGGAGGGGAACTCCGTAATGGTGCATTTATTCTGGGGGGTAAAATAAGTAGACAAATATTTACTCTGGGGGTAAAATAAGTAGACAAATATTTACTCGGGGGGTAAAATAAGTAGACAAATATTTACTCTGGGGGTAAAATAAGTAGACAAATATTTACTCTGGGGGTAAAATAAGTAGACAAATATTTACTCTGGGGGTAAAATAAGTAGACAAATATTTAATCTGGGGGTAAAATAAGTAGACAAATATTTACTCTGAGGGGTAATGTAAATAAGCAAATAAGTTAAGAAAAAATACTATAATAACAATAATAATAACATATTCATGATGATATGAACGCTGTCCCTGTACACACACACACAGGCAATAATGCACGAGGTTACTATCAGTGAAACCTCAATATAACGGACTAACCCCTCGCATACAGTGCGATGCAACGTGTGAAGTACTCTACTGTATAAACAAACCTTCGACGTATACTAGGTGAGATATCTCGCTCCCCAAAATTGGACGCAGAGGTAAATAAAAATGTTACCGGCATATCTTTGTTATCTTATGGATGTTTTACGACAGACGAGGACTCCGAAAAATCACAGAAAGACTTTAATACAATTTTATTATGAACTGAAAAATGGCAGATGCAATTTAATATGGAAAAAATGCAAACTATCAGATGAACAATGTAGATAGAGAGAAATTCAACTAAGGTAATTAAAACTATCAAATCAAGAACAAACACACAGCAATGACATTATATTAGACAAATTTAGATTCAGGGGTGGACAGGTAAACACTGGTTCGTTAATAGACTTGTGAGCGAGTGGATCAAATTGCCAAACGCCACCATTAACTCAAACTCTCTGGGAAGCTTCAAATGAAGGTGGAACAGTTAATGCGTGATATGCAATGGGTGTGAATAGGAGGCACGTTACTATGGGTCAATGGACTAACTGCAGTTCCTTACAGTACAAAAACTTCCAGCTTATATATTCACAACTTGCCTTTTACCCCCATTGTCCCCACTACCATATCAATGTGCCTGTGACTTCCCTCCTATCATGGTAATAAACATCCAGCCAGCCAGCCAGCCCCTCCCATCATGGTAACAGACAGCCAGCCACACAGTCAAGTTTTTCACAGCCAATTCTATCACATCACTGGACCAGTTTACTCTCATACCTTCAGCACATCAGCTTAAATGGGATAGTGTCCATGGGGTGACACCTCTAGTACCCTTAACATGGCTAAGATCATGGTTTCAAACCTCTCAAATCTGATGTATCTGGTAAAAACTCTTAATGCTGTGGCTTACTAACCAATTGACCGATCTTTTACCGCAAGAGGGCGTGGGGGGATTCACAAAATATCTCGGTCATTCAGATATATGTCCCCTCGAATCAACAAAACGCAAGGAATCATTAAATATCTTCCCGTTTGAAAAGAAAAGCCCCCTTGATTTCTCATTACCTAGGCAGGGCAGTCAATCAAATATCTTTACCATTATGGCAAACATTGTCTTATACCAGGGGTGGGAAATGGTTTTAACTGGTGAGCCACTCAATGAATAATGGTACACTTCACGGGCCACACACTTAATATAGATGGGAAAACATGATATTTGCAGAAAGTAAAGCCTTGTAAAGCCAGTCTTGGAGTGAGTGCCCTACTATTCCTAATGCAGTAGTGTGCCAAAGAAATAGTTTGGTGGACCAGTTTTGGCCCGAGAGCCTTTATGTTGCCCACCTCCACCTTATACCTGTAATGGATCATTAATAAGGATCAACAATACTACTGTATATCCTCACACTCTACACATGCACTTCTGGTACAGTATTGAGTCATCATGTGTGTGTTGTCAGATGTAACACTTGACCTACAGTATATCCTACACCTTGTCAATAATGATCCACACAATAAACATTTACCACAACACTGCTTCTCTACACTACACGGTCATATAAAACCACAACATGCGGTACATACCATTGTACACATCTCGGTTAAAACAATTGGCATGGCGATCATTATGGCAGTGAGAAGTAAAGCCTTGATGGTGGCAAAGGATGGTATGAGGGCACACACCCCAGACTTGATGCCCGACCCTACGCTGCAGGTCAAGCCACACACGCGGCTACCGACGGTTCTGGGGGCCACATCATCTTCACTAGTGACAGTCTTCACGGCTCTGATGTTGTTCACTTCACTGTGAACTTCATTTTCTGTCTGTACAGAGAATTATAAAGGGTTAAACAAGAGCACTCCATTGAATCTATTTTCAAGACCTAAAATCTATATTACTATAACTGGATTGAAGGTCAATGAATCTTTGTACATTATATACAGTACAGCATTTTCTTAATAAATGTCCTTTTGTACTATACTGTACTGTACTGTACTATACTATACTCTGATGCCAATTACACAAAATATTTCACCTGATTTAAATAGGTATATAAAATGATAAAATACTGATCCTGTAAACAGTAAACATAAGATTGTCTAAATTTAGAAGAACTTTGACTCACTGGCCTCCAGGCTGAGTGATGCTAGGGTCTGTTAGTACAAGGATCCATTTGGTTGTCACTGATAATTTGTACAGGTTATGTTGGGGGTCACCAGGCTGAAGTTAGTGACCTCATTATTATGTACTGTACTATTGTTTCTTAATACAGTACAGCACACAAGACTACAGCTGATCTTCACTAATAAAATACAGTACTGTATCCTGACCTGTTATTGACCTTTACTGAATTGCTTTCCCTAAAATTTCCTACAATAAAGCTGTAGATGTATATCACACTCCAACCAACTTACAGTATCATTCAAGGTGGCAATATGAGCAGACTGCCAGGTGGGTGTGGAGGTGCGTGGAGCTGACAGATCGGCTCTCGACAACCTGGCAACAGCGACTGACTCCGGAAATTGATTCTTGAGTTCAATAAGTGGCAATGGCTGGATGATCTTGATGGCCTCTACCTCTGGCTGTGTCACTTTAACAATATCTTGTTCCGGCGAGGGCAGTGGTGCAGACCGTCGACCCGGACTCTTCCTACTCGATCTCCCTCGACTTTTGGATCGTCCGCGGCTCTTAGAACGCCTCCTGAACTCTGTTATCGGCTGAAAACAAAATAGATTAAAAATACAATAATAATAGAGCAAAAATAACAATAATATCTATATCATTTACTAAATACAGAACGATAAGTCCCTTGAAACCAACTCATTATCTTACTGCCGCTTGAGTAAGAATGAATATGCAAGGGAACTTACTACCTCCTCTCCTCTCAGAAAGTCAACTTGAAGACCTCACCTATTTTGTGAGGTCACCTGTAATTACCAGTCGCTCAACAAGTTACCAAAATCCAGGTTGTCAGTTTACCGAGTCCTGGACACCGCGCAGGTAAATAAATATACCTCATGTTGTAGTTAGGATTGGACTTCACTAATTAAACTGTATTGGTACTGGTCTTATATGTACATAAACATTATTAAAAAGTAAAATGGTATTGTACATATATTGGAGAGTTTGCTATACCCCCCTATACCACCACACACCAGGAGGACACATACCACCACACACCAGCATATACCAGGAGACATACCAGCATATACCACCACACACCAGGAGACATACCAGCATATACCACCACACACCAGGACACATACCACCACACACCAGGAGACATACCAGCATATACCACCACACACCAGGAGGACACATACCACCACAGACCCAGGACACATACCAGCATATACCACCACACACCAGGAGGACACATACCACCACAGACCCAGGACACATACCAGCATATACCACCACACACCAGGAGGACACATACCACCACAGACCCAGGACACATACCAGCATATACCACCACACACCAGGAGGACACATACCACCACAGACCCAGGACACATACCAGCATATACCACCACACACCAGGAGGACACATACCACCACAGACCCAGGACACATACACCACAGACCCAGGACACATACCAGCATATACCACACACACCAGGAGGACACATACCACCACAGACCCAGGACACATACACCACAGACCCAGGACACATACCAGCATATACCACCACACACCAGGACACATACACCACAGACCCAGGACACATACCAGCATATACCACCACACACCAGGAGGACACATACCACCACACACCAGCATATACCAGGAGACATACCAGCATATACCACCACACACCAGGAGGACACATACCACCACAGACCCAGGACACATACCAGCATATACCACCACACACCAGGACACATACACCACAGACCCAGGAGACATACCAGCATATACCACCACACACCAGGAGGACACATACCACCACACACCAGCATATACCAGGAGACATACCAGCATATACCACCACACACCAGGAGGACACATACCACCACAGACCCAGGACACATACCAGCATATACCACCACACACCAGGAGGACACATACCACCACAGACCCAGGACACATACACCACAGACCCAGGACACATACCAGCATATACCACCACACACCAGGAGGACACATACCACCACAGACCCAGGACACATACACCACAGACCCAGGACACATACCAGCATATACCACCACACACCAGGACACATACACCACAGACCCAGGACACATACCAGCATATACCACCACACACCAGGACACATACCACCACAGACCCAGGACACATACACCACAGACCCAGGACACATACCAGCATATACCACCACACACCAGGACACATACACCACAGACCCAGGACACATACCAGCTTATACCACCACACACCAGGAGGACACATACACCACAGACCCAGGACACATACCAGCATATACCACCACACACCAGGAGGACACATACCACCACAGACCCAGGACACATACCAGCATATACCACCACACACCAGACAGACACACATACCAGCATATACCACCACACACCAGGACACATACCAGCATATACCACCACACACCAGGACACATACCACCACACACCAGCATATACCACCACACACCAGGACACATACCAGCATATACCACCACACACCAGGACACATACCACCACACACCAGGACATAAACCAGGGCACATACCAGCATATACCAGGACACATCACCACATACCAGGACACATCACCACCACACACCAGGAGTACACATACCTTAACATCCTTGTACTTGACCACGTACTCAGACGTGGCAGCGTCCTCGAACCGAATCTGGTACTCGATATCGTTGAAGTCAACAACCATGCCTTCAAACCACAGAGACGAGCCCGGCCAACGAGCCATTACACGCTCGTTTAATTTGAACTTTGCCATCGTCTTCCTGTAGAAAAAACAAACAAAAATAATAAAAAATACACACGATTGATATGTTTATAACCGAATATAAATAATATAATTGTTAAGGTATAATTTGAGGGCGTTTACAGTCACAAAATGTACACAAGTTTACATACACATACCGAGACAAATAAATAAAATAATGGTAATAAATAAATACGTAAATAAATAAAATAAAGAATGACGTAAATAAACTAATCAACATCAGTAACACCAAGACAAATTAATTATATACGAAGCTAAACTCGGCCAAAAATACATCTTTACGGAGCGGTTCGATGAATTCCTGAATTAACGCCGCAACTCCCGCTCTCTCGGAAGGGTCGTCAAAATCATCCGCCTGTTGCGTCACATTTTCTCGCACAAAAACCGTGAAGATAATTTTTGGTGGGCGTACAAGTATGAGCGTCGGAGGCTGGAAGTTATTTACCGATTTTCTTCGATGATTTCTCGGGTTATATCAAATGCGTTAACCTTTTCACCCCCTACATATTAAACCCTTCACTACAGAATGCCAGTTTTATTATTTCACCACGCCACACGTACACAAGGGGTTCGTAAACTACCTACACTAACACCTTTCATGCAAGACGTCACTTATTATTATTTTATTTAGCTAACGGCATTTTATTCGGCACTGAGAGACGCCGTACACTAGGGATTAACAAAAGCTCACTAACCTCTACACAGTGTCACCCCCTTCACTAGTTACTGCACTGCTAAATTCTATACAGTTAATGGTATCTAATCTGGCTTCCTGGATACAGTTTGTCTGATTATCCACAACAGCTACATATCCAGACCCTATGATCAACACAGTACACACAGTCATGTCTTGAAAGCCTCAGTAACCATATCAGAACACAAGGTAACTTTATCATACCAGCCTTGACGCGTCCTGATGTATAATGTTAAATATACGTACGGAGCATTTTGTGTTAGTATTTATTACCCTAAGCAAACTTAACAATTGAAGTACAGTATAAGGACTAAATATCTTTGTTTCAATGCTAAATACTGTATAAACAACAGTATGATACTCTACTGTATGCGGGATTACAATAATACAGTTTCCCCGTCAGCCAAAATTCTCCAATACCCAGAATTGAAACTGGCTCGGAATTTTTCTTGAAACATTATCTCAATTCCGGGTCTATGAACGAGTTTCCGAGTTTAAAAATCAGGAACATTTTGGGGGAAAATTCTGTGTAAACTTCCATAAACTTTTTCCATTTTTTTCTCAGGATCTGGGAGCAAATTCCAAAGATGAAATAAAGCATAATTTTGGAAAATTCCAGATATTCACACCAATTTTTTTTCAGGGTCTGAGAAAATTCCAAGGGTCAAATACTATGCTGAGTAATTCCCAGAAAATTCCAAGAAACCTTCCCCAATACCCAAGAAAATTCGGGGTTTGAAAGTCGTCTTGTTACCCGGAAATCTATCATCCCCGGAAGAGCTCTGCACCAATTATTCCGGCTAATGGGGATATCACTCTGTTTTGGGGGGGATTTCATAATATATACAGTATTTTTTGTAATGTATTGTGTGTAAATCTGGTGCTGCAAATAAGGAGAACAAAGAGTACAGTACTTTGAATTTATATAAGAAACAGCACTTTTGGCACTTTAATGAATTAACACACACATACCTACCTACCCAACGCATGAACACCCACCCACCACGCACACCCATCACATACACGCACACCCATCCACCCTACACACACTGTTATATCCTGCACTGTACAATATGTGGAAATTTAGGAGGAAAGCACCACCAAATAATTGCTCAGTATTCCATTGCTTCTAAAATCAGATGCAACTCAGTAACTGTTTTCTAACTTTGCCTCTACACCTTCGGCCCAGAGGCCCACACCCTAACTACTATTAATCTTGGCACTGGATTTGCATTCTATATATTAAACAGTTTTCAGTGAAAATACAAAGAAAACAAACCAAAATAATTATTAATATGGCATCCTTATGAAAATAAATTACCTGTACAAAATTCTGGTATTATGAGTCGCACAGTGAGACCTCTCTTTAACGGACTATTGTGTACGGAGAGGAAAGTCCATTATATCGAGGGTCTATATAGCATAAGAGATCTATTTTGGACTATATAGAGATGAAAGTCCGTTATATCGAGGGTCTGTCAGATTTATAACCTCCCATCTCAAGGATTATATGTAGAGAGAAGTCCGTTATATGGAGGTTTCGCTGTATTTTTCTAATGAGGAACACTGATTTCTCACCCGAAGAGAATCCTAAAGAGAGACGAGAACTTTTGCAAATTTCTCCACTAAATCATGACGTTGGGACAAAACACAGTCAACACTCACTAAAATTTCACCGACATCTTTATTCAGTAATTTCCGACACCCGGTTCATGGCACCACACAGAGGAAGTTACGATGGACTCTCATTCAACATATTGTCATGTCCTGTATATACACTACTTATACAAAACTGGTACTGCACAAGTAAAACACTGAAGTAAAAATATTCAATAGAGAAAATCCCCAGACCTGTTGGCTTGGTGTCATCTCTCTCTCTCTCTCTCTCTCTCTCCATCCCTCTCTCTCCACCCCCCCCTCTCTCTCTCTCTCCTTGATATTTATAGAAAAGATTGACCATATTTTACTATGTTCTTCAGTTACAAATCACAAAAAGTTCCATTAAATTCTATCAACTCCTTCAGGTGTTAAAATTTTGGTTTCAGTCATCCCCAGTATTCCAAACTAACCTAACCGATTCTCCAGCTGACCAAAAATAATACCCACCAAAAAATCTAACCTTACCAACAACCGGACAAATATCCACAGCCAATCACAAACACTGATATCAGCAAGCTACTGTTCCTTGTTACTGTGGTAGGTAGCAAGTCACAAAAGTTGTCAACATGCCAAAACTATATATAATTCTTGGTCTTGGTCATCAGCCTTTGCCACCTCTCTTAAAATGGAAAAACATTGCAGGGATTTGTTGCAAAGAATTTCAGGTCACATCAGTGATAACAAACGCAACAAATGACCCAAGTTACTGATCTAACTAATCTGAATTATTTTGGCTAATATGGAGGACTTCACAGCCGCTTCTCTCTCAGTAACATTAAGTTCGCCCATGGCAGGTGTTAAGTTATGCTAGGTTAAGGTTAGGTTAACTTAATTTGAATTTTCAAATAAACACCTTTTAACACATTTGCCATAACTAGGACAGTATCCACTATAAACACAGTGAAATTGCGGAGTTTTTATATTCGTTTTCTATGAAAAATCAGCAGCTATGAAGTCGAAAATAATTATCATTATTTCTTCCCTTAGTTTCTATGTCACCATTAATGGCCATCTGTTTAATCTTTACCCGTGAAATAACTATAACACACCTCAATAATCGCTTAAATGACTCATTAGTACCACACACAAGACTTGCCATAACCGTTCTTAAAAATACAAAAAAAATACCTTTAATTTAGAACCATCTCGCTCAAACTGTTTATATTTCCTTGTTCTCTCTCATAAAACAATATAGAGCAGCACAAACTGTCATATGAGACGAAGATTAACTAATGAACACAGGTACAACAAATTCTCTCTGGCGGAAAACTGTTATTTGTAAACACTGAAGAACATAAAACATAATCATATAATTGAGTTTCATTTCCGTCTTATATTTACAATACCATTTCGCATATATTACTAAAGACAAATATAATAATAATTTACTATTTGTATTTTGAGTTATTTGGTCTTTTTAAAACGTTGGGTGTGTGCCATAGGTTTTTCTTCACTATGCAACGCGTACCTTTGACTGGACGCCAGAACATTATCCATATTGATTTACAGAGGAATGCAACACTGACCCACATGTTCTATACCACCGTCAGTTTGTTACTATGGCAATGTTAAATGTTGATAGTTATTCATAATAAACATCAGTCTTATCTAATCCTTTATAATTTAGTCGAGACATGTCAAAATAGTTATATATTTTTTTCAATACATATAAAAACGAGCTACTTGAATCTGGAAACCAAAATTATTCAGTACAAAACAATCCAAAACTTACACGTGACAAATAATGCAACTACACCAAACTTCATCTTAGAAACACACGAGTCAACTCAACACAGTACAGTACACATACCAACACGAGACATAGCCAGAAAGAATATGTTTGCCACGAAAGCCTCAAACATAGGGGCGGAGACAGACACTCCTTAGTTTATTACAGATGAAGTAGGTGGAGTTGGGGGGAAGGGGTTGGGGGGAGGGGAAGGGGTTGGGGGGCAGGAGGTTTGTGGTCTGGGGGAAGTAAGCGTGACCATTGCCCTCCCCGTAGCGGACACTCAAGCGTTCATCCACGTACTACAGTTAGTACCTGTATATACTTTACACCCGTCAAGCTAGTTCTGACATTCATCTAGATCTAGACAGTAAAAATTTTCACCCATAATAATATACTTTTCACAAATTAAGTAACTTCACGTTTATGTAGGACTATTTCTACGCGCAGATGGTCTCTCCTTCCTAGCACACGCATACACACGGACAGGCACACGCCAGCCAGGACTATTATTAATGGCCAAAGTAGCAAAGCGTCGCACCTATTTCCATATGAATGGTTAGCGAGGAGGAACTATCACAAGTGCCGTACCTGATATGTGGCTTCCAGATGGACTTTCACCCTTATGCAATTCAACTATCGGGTCATTTTCCCTTATAAAGAAAATGAGGTTACGTTTGCATTATTAATACTCACTCACGTGTAAAAAAAAACGATTATCGACGACTACAATATGGACTGAATAATGCATACTACACAAATAACTATCCTGCGTATAAATCGATCTTGACAGTCTCTACCTGCCTAAGTCTCTACCTGTCCGAGTTACACTTGTACTCTACACGCGTTTACAAAGTCCCTTGACGTTTCTGTTCACGCTTGAGGGAGGTACACACCCAAAACATCGGTAAATTCAACTTTCTCCTTTTCTGCCTGTAATATTTTTCACCATGACAAATATTTACAGGGAAAATTGTCAAGTACATATTAAGAACGTCCGTGGTGTCTTCTGCAAATTACCAAGTACAACCAAGAATTAAGTACATTCACCCTAGCTTTTTTTACCTGAAGATTAACCACCCTAACGCTAGCCTCATATACATCCGGTCATTAAAACACGTAAAAACACCAAGAAAATTATACCTCCTCTCTGATAATTATCTTCCTTGACTGAATAAATTATCGAGCACCTACAATGAAATGATAAAATAATACTTTGATTAACTGAACATAGAGTGACTGACGCATTCTAATCTACGAGGCTTTTCATCAGCTGTTTCTTCCTTTCTACTGCTTGTATCGTCCTAATTATCACCTGTAATATCCTAATTATTAAGGATGGATTAAGGATGTGCTAGAAGGTTGAATAATATATGTTAGGCAGCCATTAACAGTAGCCAAGTCTGGATATTTTCAGAAATTTATGACAGAATTAGTCTGATATATTGTTGTTGAGAGTTCATTACATTTTCGTGTTTACAATTTCGGACGAGCAAAACAGACACCCAATACTTGTGGAAAGGAAGAATTGAGGTGTTAATTAAGGTTTCATATATCCGATGAGCTCAAATTCGACATCAGCACAGTATTGATATCTGGCAAAAGAGGAAATTCACAGTCATTTTTTTATACCAGTAAATCAGTTTCAGTTAGCGTCTTATTTTACTCAAGTTGGCAAAATTACTGAAAGACTTTATCAGACACAGGATGTATTATGAATGACAAATCAAAAGGTTGAAAATAAGGTTGAATCTACACATAGAGAGAATCTTAGTTACTCGAACGAACATACAAATCACGTCAATACTGGTACTCACAAACTATTAAATAATTCCCCATATATGAATTGTTACATTAATTGAATGAAATACTTCACTGAGAAATAAAAGCGTAAGAAACACGAATTTACACAGAATTAGCAAGGTTGATAAGCAGGAATACTTGCAAAATCATGACACTTCCCGGTAACACTATCTGGTAACTCACGCCAACTGTGTTCGTCAGATAAGAGCTATCAGATTTCATATACTCCCACTATACTGTATACCAGCGTACAGTGTGTGTAATGGTGCAGTGAAGCCATAAATGGGTCAACTACGCTGGTATCTTGAGAATTTATTTACTTCACCTTAACAGAAAACTGAATTGGGTATTATTGTGTATATTTAAAGTGTTCAGTATAGTATATATCGCCACATTTAATGTTTGATAGTCCTGACCAATCATAGTGTAATCAATATTCTTAACCTAAGCTCTGACTAGCCACAACCACACGTCGGAAGCCCTTCTTCAGTTGTACAGTTACTATCCCCGCCACCACAGGAAGGTTGCGCAACATCTGTGCTTGACTCAGTCCGTCCCTTCCGCTCGTCCTTGAATTACGAACACCGTATAAACTAAACCTTGTATATGGATATATTACACGATTTCTCACGTAACACTTGCCTTTTCGCATTGATGTTATGACTGCGCCTCAACAATTAAAGTTCTTTCTTTAATAGACTGTCTCCACTATCACCAGATGATTTTATTTAGCTCTGAGCGACACCGTACACGAAGAATTAGTAGACTATCCCCAGAAACAGCGTAACCACCAGTCCATTAACAAATATTTTTTTTTTAATTACACTGTACATTTGCCTATCTGAAATGGCAAATAGTTTATCGGGCATTGTAATATTAGAGTAAAGTTATAGTATCACAAAATATACCAAATAATTTATATAAAGATTCATTATGAGTTTATGACACTACACACACGGACAAAAGCCAAACTAAATCACGTTGACTTAAGAGTCACCGCTACAGCCCAGAGGAATATGAGTCATCGCTACAGCCCAGAGGAATAAGATTCGCCCCTGGGTAAGATAAGAGCCGTTTTAACTGAGGCGGCTTTGTCTTCTCGCTGTCAGGGGTCCCAACATGCATACCAGTCGTCTATGCAGCCTCCTCCCCGCCAAAGGAATAGAGTTAAGACGCTAGGGGTACGTACATTAAGCTCCAAGTATGTTGGGGTGACAATCTGACAACTTTAACATTAGTTGGGAAGCTTAAGTGTCTGTTTACCGCTTTTTGGCAGCCCCGGGGGTATCATTGTATTGCCTACCAGCCAAATATAATGAAAATGTCCCAAGGGATGTGAGATGACTACGACTTCATACTAACACTAAACTAAATAACTGTTTATGTATTGTAAATATAATCCATTCTTAATCGGTAATCTTAAACAATACCTGGAGGTAATATAAAAGGTTAACAATTTACATACATAAGTGGGTTAAGTGATGCGATAGTTAACAACCAATTGAAGACAAGTAGATTAGGTTTTATCTGCTGGACTGAAATGCTTTTGATTCCGTTTATAATATCATAGTTAACAAGAACAAATACCCATGGTGATAACGCCGAGCTTCTGAAAGTGTGTGAACCCTGGATACATGGCTTGGGGGCAGGAGGATAAGGCAGGGTGTGGGAGGGTGAGTGAGTGTGAGGGAGGGGGTGAGGGAAGAAGAGAAGGATGGCCCCCCCCCCCCCACATTCTTCAACGTCATCCACCGGCAAGAAATGTTGGACAAGTTCTGTGGTAGAGACGAGGAGGCTGGCTGGCTCTCACACGGTAAATCCGGTGTACAGTATATATCAAGATAACAGCCCCGTCTTTCCCTTTGTATATCGTATATTTTTGTGTATATGCGTGTAGTATTAACCAATAAGTATGATGTGTATGCTTGTAACACACACACACACACACACACACG